TTCACCATATGCTTCTGGTGATGTCCTTTATAAAATGAAGAACTTTATAAAAGTGACTAAATGGAACAATTTGCAAATTCCTAAATAACGTCTTTAGTGCTTGGGTTCAGTCCACCATAAACTTCATGGACTCAAAACTGTTAGATTTTGGATATCCGATATCAACCAGATTCCAACAGTAGTGCTGAGGACATTCCTCGCGGGAAAATCCATATTGAGAGTCTTATATTAGATAAAGTCTTGCATAAATCTTGAACCGATGAGCCTAGCCAATATAGCTTGGATCTTCTGTTTGATAACTGAAGCAACAGAAAGCTTCTTCTTCTTCTTCTTCTTTTGGACGAAAGAATTTTTATTCTTTCATCCTCCTTGGATGGAAAATGGAAATATATTTAAAGAAAGAGGGATTAGTGTAGTATTGTTTGAGATTTGGGGGTCAAAATCTCTTCTTTCCTTAAGAAAACTCAACATTTGCAATTATCGATAGTAAGTGATTTCTTCTCCCTGTTCTAATTTCTGTTTTGAGAGCAAAAGTCATATCTTATGAGATGATGCTATGGAAGGATTATTTAAAGACTTTTTAACTCTCTCTCACTGAGATTGAGCAATAACTAGCACACGTACTGTATTGCTGATGCTTTTAGAACCTTTGTCCTTATAATAAGGATTGGCATACCTCAACAAATGGTTCTCATTTTCCAAATTAGTCATTTAGTTTTATTTGACATAAAGTATGACTCGTAGGTAGTCACAGTTGCTAAATTCCAAGGAGGTGGTGCATTTAACGTTATTCCAGACTCTGTTACCATCGGTGGCACTTTTCGGGCCTTTTCAAAGGAGAGCTTTCAGCAGCTTAGGCAGCGAATTGAGGAGGTAGGATCAATTCTTAATTAGTCAGATTCTTCGCAATTCACTTTATTTAATCAGGGTTTTAGTTATCTCATTTTATATGCTGCATATGGAATGAAATTGCAGCTCATCGTACTGCAAAGCCCACATTATGCTTTGGTGTCTCGACATTGTTTCTTTTTTTAGATGTTATAATGGCCAAATATGTTGCAAATTGTCTTGTTTCCTTGATTTGTTCGGCTTCTACAGTCTCATTCTGTTTAGTCATGCTTTCTCCATAGTAGAGATACTAATTCTCGTCTTGCGTAGGTTATTGTTGGGCAAGCTGCTGTACAGAGATGCAATGCAACTGTGGATTTTCTTACAAAAGAGAAACCCTTCTTCCCTCCAACCGTGAACGATAAAAACTTGCACAAACACTTCCAGAGAGTTGCAGGTGATATGCTTGGTAACGATCATGTAAAAGACATGGAACCGCTAATGGGATCAGAGGATTTTGCGTTTTACCAAGAGGTTATTCCTGGTTACTTCTACCTACTCGGTATGCAGGATGAAACTAATGAAAAACTTGTTTCAGTACATTCACCTTATTTTAAAATCAACGAAGAAGCACTTCCTATCGGTGCTGCACTTCAAGCATCTTTGGCTATCAGATATCTTCTCGAAGCACAATCACAAGTTCCTTCGTCAAGTATAAGTGATCATCACGATGAATTGTAAGGTGCTGCACTTTTCTAGACAATGCAGACCTAAATATACCCACTTGTTCATTTTTATGTATTGCTAGAACTGGCTTTTCTAGCTTAAACTGTATATCTGGAATGAGTCGGTATAGTTAGAAAGGTCAATGTTTATGCAACAATTGTTTTCGTTCCTTTTCTCTTTAAACATATTCAAGTAACTGTATCAAGTCAGAAGTCAGCGAACAACTCTCTGTTCTCGTCTGTAATTCCAATTTCAGACACTTCCAATGTAGATTTTGTTTGTAATTTACATCTCTCTTGTTCTTTTCTTCTAAGATTTTATATTCTTTTGCTATGGATGTACCGTGCTCTCGTTCTTGAATCAACAGTTACGTTGAGTTTTCACTGTACGGATGGTATTGGAGAGTCATTGTGGCGCCGTGCATGAGTTGTGACTGAACACTTGAGTCACTTTGTTCACAAAGTACTACCAAGAGTACTAACTAGTTGTCACGATCCGAATTTTTCACCTTCGGGACTGGCGCATAACATTACACTCGCTAGGCAAGCGTACGTTACAAAATATTTCACATTTTTCCTTTATCCTTGTATAATTAAAATTTAACAAAACTAATTCAACGAAAATAAAAGTAGAAGTACATGATTTAACTGAATACCCTTATACTATTAACGAACGCCGGAATAGATACCACCCAGAAACTGGCGTCACAACTCACAAACAGTCTACGAATACTACAAGTAATGGTTTGAAAGAAAATACATCTGTCTTGAAGAATATGAGGGGATGCCAGGACCTGCAGACGCCTGCAGGACTACCTTGGGTCTCCTGAATGCAGTAACAGCAACCTACCTCTCGATCAGCCACTACCAGCTCCGAAATCTGGACAGAAAGTGCAGAGTGCAGTATCAGTACAACCGACCCCATGTACTGGTAAGTGCGATCAGCCACTACCAGCTCCGAAATCTGCACAGAAAGTGCAGTATCATTACAACCGACCCCATGTACTGGTAAGTGCCGAGCCTAACCTCGACGAAGTAGTAACGAGGCTACAGCGGGGCATAACAATATATAACCTGCAACAGTTTATACTAAGACAGAAAGGAAATACTGAATGAAATATAACAGTAACCTGCAAATGAATACCGAACCCAGTCGTTCTACCAGTATCCAGCTATAACCGATCCTTAAGGGAGTTTCAACACTAAAATAGTGAACCTCAGCAGAAAAAGAATACATAAACAACAAATGATGCGGCGCGCATCCCAATCCCACCATATGATCAATAACAGTATAAATATTCACCCTTATTACTCCTTATTGCGGCGTGCAACCCGATCCCACCAGTCCACTCTTATTACTACACAGCGAGACCAACCAAAGTGTACCACAAATCACCAATAAACCAACGTAAACCAACAGTGTGCTATGATGAAACTACGGAACAATTAATAACATCAATAGAGAAATAACATTTAACAAGAAGCAATTAGACATTGAAGCATCAATAAGCAAGTAGCAATTAAGACAGGAAAGCAATATATAGGGAAACGGGGAAAGGGAACAGGCTAAACAGGTAATTTGGCGACGCATAGATGCTCGTCACCACAGCTATACGCCACACACATGGTATTTCACATAGCAAGCAAGTCGGGGATCCCTAGTCCCTCGAGTCAAGGTTAGACCAAACACTTACCTCAAGCCAACGGGTAATTCACAGTTCAAACACCACTTTACCTCTCGATTCCACCACCAATCCACTCATATCTAGCCATAATTAACTTAATAACATCAATAAATGCTAAAGAAACCAATTCCAATGCATAATTATAGATTTCCCAATATTTTCCCCAAAAAGTCAAAAATCGACTCCCGGCCTGCTTGGTCAAAACTCGAAATTCGGACCAAAACAGATTACCCATTCACCCCCGAGCCAGGATATACAATTGGTTTTAGAATCCGACCTCAATTCGAGGTCTAAATCCCCAAATTTCGAAATTCCTAAGTTCTACCCAAAAACGCCCAATTTCACCATGAAAAACCCTAGATTCTAGGATGAAATCTTGTAAAAAGATGAAATAGATCGAAAGAAACAAGTTAAGAATCATTTACCTATGATTTGGGGAAGAATTAGTCTTTGGAAAATCGCCTCTTGAAGTTTAGGTTTTGAAAAATGGGAGAATGAATGAAAAATCCCGTCCAAAAATCGTTTTGAATAGTTACAGGTATCGCATTTGCGATCACAGGTTCGCAAATGCGGACTTTACTTCGCAAATGCGAAAATTGGCCTGGCCTGCTGGCATCACAAATGCGAACAAGTGTTCGCAAATGCGGCCCATGTTCTCATCGCAAATGCGACGCTGAGCTTCCCAAATGCGAAAGTCCCCTTCCCAGCCTTCTGATCGCAAATGCGAAATAACTTTGCAAATACGGTGCTCGCATTTGTGAGTCAGACTTCGCAAATGCGAAGTCTGCAGACCTGGAGCACACCAGAAAAATTCCTTAAGTCCTAATCACTCCGTAGCCTATCCAAAACTCACCCGAGCCCTCGGGGCTCCAAACCAAACGTGCACACAAGCCTTAAAACATTATACGAACTTGCTCGCGCGATCAAATCGCCAAAACAACATCTAGAACTATGAATTCAATACCAAAAAACATGAAATTTTCAAGATAGTTTCAAACTTTCTATTTTCTCAACCAAAGGTCCGAATCACATCAAATCGCTTCCGTTTTTCACCAAATTTCACATATAAGGTTTAAATATTATAATGGACCTGTACCGGGCTCCGGAACCAAAATACGGGTCTGATACCAACAAGATCAAATCATTTAAATTATTGCATTTTTAGTCTTATCAATTTTCTTCAGAAATTCATTCTCGGGTTAGGGACCTCAGAATTCGATTCCGGGCATACGCTCAGGTCCCATATTTTACTACGGGCCCTCCGGGACCGTCAGAACACGGGTCCAGGTCCGTTTACCCAAAATATTGACCGAAGTGAACTAAAATCACCTTTTTAAGCCAAACAATCATATTTTCTTAAGTTTTTCACATAAGGGCTTTCCGGATACGCACTCGGACTGCGCACGCAAATCGAGGAGAGATAAAATGGGGTTTTCAAGGCCTCATGATGCAGAATCAGATTCTAAAACAGAAGATGACCTTTTGGGTCATCACACTAGTAAATTTGATTTTTGAGAAAACATCAAAACAACAAAACTACGACTCGATCCCAATTAAGTTGGGTTGGGGTCGGCTATATGTTACGTTGAATCAACAGTTACGTTGCTGTACAGATGGTATTGGAGAGTCATTGTGGCACGGTGCCTGAACACTTCAAGTCAGTTTGTTCACAAAATATTACCAAGAGTACTAACTAGTAAATTTGATTTTTGAGAAAACATCAAAACAACAAAGCTAGGACTCAATCCCAAACAAGTTGAGGTCGGCTATATGAATCCTCATTTCTCCATCCATGTCTCAAAATAAAAAGCAACGTGATACAACATCACATAGGAGAGAACATTGTGAGCCTGTCACACCATGTTATCAGCATTGTATATACTGATGCATCTAATTAGCTAGTATGGAACTCAACTGATCATAGCATCTAATTAGCTACAAATCGCTTATAATTCTAGAAGCCCAAAAACTTGGCTGAATGTTCTAACAAAGGATCCAAAGCACTAGGAGCAAATTTTCTGGCAAAAAGGAAACAAAGTGAAGTAGGCTGGTTATTGTATATACAGAGCGGGCTATCAGAAATTTTCTTGAAAAATTGATCAGTAATATCGGCCTTCCCAAATGTAGCAGGATGAGCGCCACCTCTGGACCAGTCCACCCAAGTGAGAGTCCGGTTAGCCAGGAGGCGAGGCGATTCTATTGTCAGCATCGTTGGAAAATAGTGCTCGTCCACGTAACATGCTGGTCTGCAGAACTGCTCAAACTTAGGGTAGTATACCTCATCTTTAACAATGTCAACAGCGAGTTTCCTGTTGACTTCAAACCACTGAGATCCTTTACGCCATTCAGTGAGGTTAACTTCAGGTGTCATATTCGGATTGTAACGTCCTCTTCCATAAGGTCCAGGTTCATCTACTGCACCCATAAAGCTATACCTGGATCTTGATATGTAGTGATAGACAGCTTTGAAGTTATGGAGCGGAATGCATGCCTCGGATAGGAGGACAAACCATTCGTTGGAGATATCAAGCAGTGCATTAGCAAGAAGCCGTCTTTCAGCATCACACATACTCATTCTTCCCCACTCTGCCACCTACACAAAAAGAAACAACAGAATTATGACATTGATATATTATTTCAAGACGGGAGAGGGTAGTGTGTATGCAGCCTTACTCCTACCCTATAAAGGCACAGAGGTTGTTTTCGATAGACCCTCGGCTTACGGAACAGTAAAAATAAAGCAACAAGCAATAGCATCAGCTATGTAATATGGTAACGGAAGCGAATGACATAACAAGATTTAGGCTCATAGACTGCATAGTTGCGGCAAAATGTACTAGCAAGAGGTGTACAAACATCTTTTGCAGACACATCTGCAAAAAGGATTTTACCAGCGAGCTTCATCCTTCAGTCATCAAAGTAGCGCATAAAACTTTTTAAACCAACAAATATGCATCATCCATCACGGACATGTATATGAAACTATTCCCCACAGATTAATCGAAGGAAATAATCCTTCATAAATGGCCTTCTCTTCCCCTAAGGAAATACTTCAACCAATGTCTGAGATAGACAGTGGAATGTTAGTAGAAAGGGGTCACTGTATCATATTATCTAAGCATACTTCACTACCTAGAACAGCAGAACCAGATTTCCACTATGATATTCGAGAAATCCATCTCAGCTGTCCATAACTTGTTGCTCCAAAAGTCTCATCTTAATACCACACATTAGAATTCAGTTAACTACTGTAGCAAGATCTTTCGTTTTTGGTTTCTTTCTTTATTTAGATTTAAGTGTTGGAAATATACCAGAACATTTGTATTAAAGTACAGTAATTCCTGGCATACATTAAGCAAATGTTGTGGTACAAACTTCCTAAAATGGAGAAGATTCCCTGGTAACATTTCCCAGTTCACTAGTTCCAACCACAAAAATAAGTGTTTCAAATGAGAAAAGTGGTTTAGAAAGTTTACATGGCGCACTAGTCGTCACAAATATTCAGAAACCCCCTAGATGAACACATGTCTATGGGCCAACTTATGTAACAAGAGAACCAAGCAAGTGTTTATCCGACTTTCACTCAATTTAATCCTTAATGATGTTGCTGCAACAACTAACAAGTTTGCAACTTTCAATGATCTAGACATTGCCTCAAATACAACACCGTGGCAGTAACATATAACCTAGGCATACATGGACCAGAACTTGATGAGCTACAAGAAAGAACACATTTTCCCCCAGTCCTACTCCTACCTGTGGACAACTTAAGGAATCCTGTAACCATAATCATTAAAGAAGAAAAAGACCACCAACTATGAATCTCCATAATTATGTTCAAATATGCCAATTGTCTTTTGAACAAAATGTATCACTCGATATTGCTGAACTTTCTGGTTAAACCTTAAAATGTTTCTGCAGCATGACTCCAAAGGTCTCAAAAGATGCTATATGAGAAAGTAATACACAACAGTTTAGCTGTAACAACTAACGAGCCCCAGCACGATGGCAGACCGACATAAGCATTCAAATAGTTGAAATTCTATGGGAGATCTGCTTCAACAACCAAGTTCGAAAGGGGCATAAAACACAGAAATATTATGGTAGCCCAAGACTTGGGCTTACCAGATACACTCATAAGAATGCCAAAGTGATAGCAACACAGATTAGGTAGAGCAGGTCAAAGGTGGCAGCTATTGCAGGGTTAAATTTTTACACATAATGGAAAGAACAAATTCAAGCATAATGTACCATAGGAAGGAAAGGAAGAAGCTCAATTTACCTGACTAGGAATTTGCCTGCCATGAAAAACCGATGAAGGTGGGAAATCAGGTTTGTGTGATGGCAAGGAATGAATATAGATTGAAAAAAGCTCCTCATTCCCCTTGAGAAACTTCTCCCACAAAGGCGCTAAAGGCAACGGTCCTCTAGTCAAGAACATGAACGCGATCTTACATGTTCTATTAAAAGGGTAATCTTTGATTTGAGGAACAATCGAAGCTCGCCAAAACAACTGAGTATCATTCATCGAATGCAATAGATTCGACGGAGGCCTAATCCAACTCTCTAAACCAAGTTGTTGAATACAGGGCTGAAACCTTGATTGTACCATAGGGATTACATTCTGAACTACTGAATACCGAACCATATACATACTAACAAATGAAAATACAATACCAAGACCCAAAAATAGCAATAGAAATTGAAGTAACCTTAATGTTAAAGGCTTATACTGAGTTACCACCCTAGTACTAAGATCTTTACCCTCCTCCAATGACCCGTGACTCCCTACTCTTGACTTCATTTCTAATTCTACTAATACTTTCAAGTACAATAATTGAAGGAAAAATCAGATTTTCTTTATCCCAAATTGCTATATTGAGCAATTTAACTATCATCCAAAGAGAATGACACAGAGAATATAAGTATCATCAGGTATGTGGTTCACAAAATTTTACTGCAAAAAGCAAGGATTTTTAGGCAAGAAAATTTCAACCCCAGATCAAGAAAATGAGATCTCAAGATTTGGCAACTGATTCACTTAGGCAAGAAATGATGAAACAGATATCATGGGGTTGGAGGAAGAAAGTGAAAGCTGAAATGAATATTGAGCTAATTTTGTTATTGGGATTAATAAATGCGATAGTATGGGCGTGATTGAAGGAGCCAAATTTATGAAGAATCCAGAGACCAAAAAGACGTTTGTGTTTGAAGAATTAAACAGAATCTTGTTGTTCTCACTCACACCAAATCTGTTGTGTAGCTTTAGCTTGTTGATGACATCTTTGGCTAAACGTGGAGAAATTTAAAGGGTTTTCTAATACATTGAAGAGTTGTCTTTGTTGGGAAACTGAAAGGAGTATTTTGATGAGGAAAGAGAGAAGGGAAAGTAGAGCATGTAGGTGTGTGTGTGTGTTTGTTTTTGATTTGTTTGTTGGTTGGACGAACCTAGATGTTTGCGTACTTAGATTTGTCTTGTGTTTTTACATTGTTATGAGCATTTATTTTGCGACTTCACCAATAAAACACATGAAATAAAATACAGTATCCTCACGTCACTTTGTCTCCTTTCTTTTTGGTTTTTGTCTTTTTAATTTTCTTCAGATCCGAGGGTCGAGCATTGAAATTTTCAACCATTTTCTCCAATGTTATTTCCTTTTGTTCTTTTTGCGACTTAAAGAGTTCCAATTTCCTACCATCCGTCGAAAATCCAACCGTAACCGTTAATTGAATCGAAAAAATAATTTAATGGCTTATTGATATCGGGTTATCGGGGTAACGATTGGTGAATGGATTGACATTTTATAATTAACGGCTTAACGATTTGAGAACGGATTACTCAATTTCCTTATCGGATAAACCGTTAACCCGTTAAAAATTTTTATATTTATACTTTTACCCCTATGTATATAAAGTATTTTTTGAAACCCTAAGGTACTCTTGGTAACTTCAAGGAACACTTTCTTGAATTTTCAGCTATTGCTTCTCCTTTCTTTTGCAATCAAAATATGTTATATTTACGGTATATTGAAAAGCATGTACTCCAAATGATGTATGTTATGAAGTTACGTACATCTCGTCTTTCTTCTTCTGTTGTTGGTATACATATTCCTTGATTGTACGGTTATCCTTAAGAATAAGGGATAAAATGCACTTCCTTTTAGTGCTTTTTTAATATAGCAGTAATAATTAAATCTGACAACTTACAGGAAAATATTCTTAGCTATGCAACCAAAATAACTAAGGTTCAAAAAAATTCTATTTGATTTATCCAATAAACTGCCCGATAACCGCTCGATAATCATTATCCGATACCAATCCGCCCATTGTCTTATTGGATGGCCAGCGGATTACTACATTTATAATCCGATAATCGATAAGCCAAACTGTGAAGCGTAATAATTCGCCTGATAAGCACCCCTAATCAGCATATTACAATCACACAGAGTAGTTATTCAAATAATAATGTTATTTTATGATGATGTTCTAGTCAGTTTGTATACACCTTAATAGCATAGCTATAATTTTTATTAAATGGATTCAAAATATAAAGAAGCAACAGGCGAAGACATTAAGGTGATTCAATATCTACTGTATGTATAGAAAAAATAATCTTTTATTTATATACGCAATATATTTTTTGGCGAAGGGGTATGAAACTCTTCCGCTTCCCTAGCTCTACCCATGGCTTTGCTATCTAGGCTCATACAGAAGAAATTATTAATTATATTTTGCCTTTGCTTGAATTGAACCTAGGATTTCATGATTCTCCTACCATTTTATTGATCACTACAATTATTTATTTATATTTTAAGTCAAAGTGAGATATTTTCAAAAACTAAAACAACCAAAGCCAAATTTTCACAAAAATTATTGCAATTGTATTTCAAAAAACATATTTTCAAAATGGTGTTCGAAAAAAACTCTAACCTCATAACAAGTTGTTTGGATGGTTGTTATTTGTTGTATTGTATTGTATTGTTACTTTAAACACAATGTTTGTTTTGATTGTTACTTAAATTTTATTGTATCATACTGTTAAATTCATCATTTCATAACGACGAATAGTGTCACTTTATGAAACGACGGATTTGATGTGGCGACGTCGTTTCCTTGTTCTTTTCTCTCATCTTGCCCTTCCTTATTATTAGATAATCATATTTTATCATTTACCCTACCAGAAACACACAAACAACAACCAATTATTTTAATCGACCGATAATTTTACACCAAAAATAATAAATTAGAGAAACAAAAGTGAAATAAGCCCAAATTCTTGACCAAGAAAATGACGGAGAAGACTGAAAATCCCAGTGGATCATGATCATCTTTTTTGCTGATCTCTAACAAGATAAAGATTCTCTATGTGGGCGTCTCAATCGAATTTATGATTTGCTTGGCTACATCTGTAAACTTGATAAATGCAGACAAAATTTGTAAATTAAAATAACACTGCCAACGAATAAGTAATTGTAATTCTTTTTAACCCTTTGCAAGTGGAGATCTTTGGAGACCGGGCATCTTTCTAACTTTGTGTCATCAAGTATGGATGGATAAATTTTGAGTATAGGGCATGTTGGAGAAGAAGGTGGGAATGGGAAGGTGTCTAATGAAAAGATTTGTGTTTAATTAGTTGGATGGAGAGTGGATTAGGGAAAAGGGGAAGGAGATACAGAAGAAGGGCAGAAGAAAGAAGATGAATGGGGGTGGGGCTGGGGGTAGCGCTGGTTTTGGTTCTGGAAGGAAGAAGATGAACTGGGGGGGGGGGGGGTGGCTGCTTTGGTTAATAGTGAGGGGAAAAGGTTTATTTCTTCTTTAAATTTATTTTCTTTTTTTTAATTATAAGTGTTAAGTTTTAATTATAAATTACACGTGTCGTTCACTGATTGACTCATTTGACACATCATTGGCAAGTGTAACTCACGTATCTGGTCTGTTGCACTCGGGTGTCTATTTGATTTGATTAACAGTCACTTGAAGTGTCTAAATGATAAGGGGGTCAATTGAGATGTTCAGCTGGTCGTTGAGGACAACTTCAAGGGGTCGTTTTATTTTGAAACCAATCCAATTGTATTGTCATACTTTTTATAACATTTTGAAACTAATATTTAGTTTTCATCTTTTACTACATGAAATTAGTGGAAGAAACGAGAAATTGAAAAATACTTTTCTCTGTTTTATTTTTTATTTCCTGCATATAGGTGGTTGAGTTTTGAATTATAGGCTAAATATAAATTTCGGGGAAAGGTGGATGAGGATGTTAAGGTGGATATGTGAGCATACAGTTCGATAAGATTAGGAATGAAGTTATTCGGGAAAAGGTGAGAGTGACCCCTGTGGATGATAAGATGCGGGAGGTGAGGTTGAGATGGTCCGGGCATGATAAGAGGAGAAGTATAGAAACCCCAGTTAGAAGATGAGAGAAGCTAGCCTGGGTAGGTAGCAGGAGGGGTAGAGGTAGACCTAAAAGTCTTAGGGACATGGCGCAGCTGAAGCTGATTGAGGACATGCCCTGGACAGGAGGGTGTGGAGATCAAAGATTATGGTAGAATGTTTATAGGTAGTCGAGAGTATCTCTTTGTCTTACTCAGTTCACTAGTATTAGTGTTAGTATGATGTCTTTTTATTCATAAATTACTATTACTACCCAGAGTTTAACTGCATTCTTGCATTCGATCTTATTTTATCTTGCTGTTATTCATATTTGTTGCAATTATCTTTTCTTTTTCAGTCGTTCTTTAGCAGATGGTTTATCGGAAACAGCATCACTGCCCATCCAGAGGTAGAAGTAAGGTTGTGTACATCTTAGCCTCCCCAGACCTCACTCGTAGGAAACACTAGATTTTTTGTTGTTTTTGTTGTTGTTGAGTATGCATAAGTTTTATTTTTGTATGATTAATAAGCAAAACGGAAAAGGGCCTAAAATGTCCTTGAACTATTCGAAATAGCTCAAAAATACCCTCCATTTGTTTTTGGTACCAAAAATATCCCTGCCATCTATGTTATGGACCACAAATGCCCCTTAAACCGTTAATCTTGCCATTGAAGCTGACATGCCAGTCCTACTGGGTTTGATTTGCTTAAATGGCCATCCACCTAAGCAATCCAGCATGTCAAAATTATTTTTTCGAAAAAATAATTTTTCCGGAAATTTTTATTAAAATACAAAATCAACATTTATTCCCAAAAAAGTAAAAAAATTCCGGAAATTTATTTCGGAATTTTGTTATTAAAATAAAAAATCAACGCTTATTCCGAAAATAGTAAAATATTTTCGGAAAAATTATTTATTTATTAAAATATTATATATAATATACAAAATAAATTATTTTTGGAAAGTGCTTTAATATAATGTTCCGAATTTTTTTTTTACTTTTTTTGGAATAAGTGTTCGACGTTGAAAATTTTAAATTTCACTTGAAGTTGAATTTCAGAATTTTTGAAAATTTGAAAACTCCAAAAATTATAAGAACTTCGGATGAACCAATTGATACTTACAGTAGAGGTGTGCTTTTTGTGAAGCTATAACTTATAAGCATCTAAAAATTTAGATCAAATTAATCATAAATTCACAAAAGAGAACAATGGAGTTTTTTAATCAAATCATAAAGCCAATCAAGAATAATTATTTCAGAAATTTTTACTTTTTTCGGAATAAGCGTGATTTTGTATTTTAATAAAAAAATTCCGAAATAAATAATTTTTCTGGAAGTATTTTACTATTTTTGAAATAAGTGTTGATTTTGTATTTTAATAACAAACTCCCAAAATAAATATTTTTTCCGATTTTTTTTTACTTTTTCGGAATAAATATTGATTTTTTATTTTAATAAAAATTTCCGGAAAAAAATTTTCCGAAAAAATAATTTTTGCCATGCTGGATTGCTTAGGTGGATGGCCATGTAAGCAAATCTAACCCAGTTGGACTGCCATGTCAGCTTCAATGGCAAGACTAACGGTTTAAGGGGCATTTGTGGTCCAAAACATAGACGGCAGGGATACATTTGGTACAAAAAACAAACGGAGGGTATTTTTGAGCTATTTCGGATAGTTCAAGTAAATTTTTGGCTCTTTTCCGTAGGCAAAACGGGGGTTTTAGGCAGTGGCAGATGTAGAGCATAGTCACTGGGTTCTCGAAAATCCAGTAACTTTTGCATAGACCCTGTATTTTATTTAAAAAAATCATTAAATATTAATAAATATATAAGTGTGAAGCCAGTTATTATTGTATATTAATTTGATATTACAATAGGAACCCATAAACTTCAAATTCTGGATCCGCCTATGGTTTTAGGCCCCAAAAATGCCTTATCGGTCCAAAAACGCTTTGGGCTTTTCAACGCCAAAACTTCACGGTATAGCCAGTTTTCGGACTAGTCAATCAAAAATAGCCAGCGTTTACCAAGTCAATGAAAAATAGCCACCGTTTTTCTGCAATAGAGACCGGTCAAGCATAATATACTGGAGTTCGGTGCACTTGTGTATGAACTCCAGCATATTATGCTGGAACGGTATACTTTGCTGGCTCCAGTATAATATACTGGAGACTGGAGCACTGGTGCTCCAAACTCCAGTATATTATACTGGACCATTATACTTGCTGGAACTCCAGTATATTATGCTGGAGTTCTAGTGTATTTATGCTGGAACTCCATCATATTATGCTGGAGTTCCAGCATGCTATCCTGGAACTCCAGTATAATATGCTGGAGTTCAAGTATACTTATGCTGGAACTCCAGCATAATATACTGGAGTATTTTCCGGGTTTTGAACAGTGTTTTCGCTCAGATTTATCTTTACATAAAAAGTGGCTAAATTTCGATTACTTTTGAAATTGGGCTATTTTTGAACGACCAGTTGTAAATCTGGCTATTTTTAAAAATATCCCCTTTTCAACGGAACCCAAAGCACAATAGGTTAGCGCCCTCGGTAAACAGCCCGGCCCATCAAACTTAACCCGGTCGTTTCCACTTTCCACATAGTAGTTACAATCGGCGAACCCTATATAACTAGCTTGACCGTCAAAAGGTTGATCAAATCACAGTTCGTCAGTTTCGTCTTCCCGAATTCCAAGTATCTGCCATCTCTGCAGGTATTTCGCATTTTTATTTGATTATCTTTTGTATCTCTGAGATTATATCTACGAAACGATAGGATCAAATTGTTCCCCGAATTCACATTTAGTGTTTCAGGCTGATTATAAAGATTATGATTAGGTTACTTCGAATTCTATTACGTTTACTTATTTTGGCACCAATATCAGTAAAATCATTTAAGTCTTTTTTTTGTTTGAATTACCTGCTGATAGATGCAGGTTAAAAATTGATTTATATTTTTCCTTTTTCTTTTTCCTATTAATGCTGGATCGTTTTATTTTCTCTTCGGGGTATTAGTTTCATTGATATATGTTAAAAGTAAAGATGCAGTTGCTGATTTGCACACTGGTTTTTGTACCAGATGTAGACGATATTTTAGACGCAATTGCTGATTTGCACAACCTGTAATTACGCACAGGCACTGGCTTAGTGCAAATATTTATATAATATATTATTTACCATTAAAAAAAAGTAAAGATGCAGTTTTTAACGAAATGGAGGTTTCTTTCTTGTATTTGAACAAGAATTTTAGGCAAGGGTATGATGTCTAAAGTTGTACGCTTGTTGTTTGCGAAACGAAGGGTCTCTAGAATTTGCAAAGAGCGGACGTTAATGAAGAAAAGGAAAAGAAAGGCTGCAAGACAGAGAAAGGTAAATACTAAAAAGGGAAAGAGAATGGAGATCACCAACACAGATGGAAGAGCAGCTGATGATGCGGACAGGATCTCTGAGTTGCCTGAACACATTTTACATCACATCCTTTGTCTTCTCCGCTGGCCAAAGGATATTGTGAGAACTAGCATCTTGTCCAAGAAGTGGAAAGTCATTTGGGAATCTTTCACGTCCGTTGATTTTGATCAGAGGCGCTTCCAAAATCATAAGGTTGGAGCTTCAAATGATCTCCAATCTCCACCAGTGGAGGAACAGAGCGCAAGTTTCAAGCAGGTGTTTAAGGAATCCCTGACAGCTGGATATGTAGATCTGCGATTAATGAAGTTCATTCTGTTTGTTGAGAACACCTTAGCAACCAGAATTGAACCATTGCCAAGTATACAAAAGTTCAGGCTGCATGTCTCCTCTTTTGTTGCTGATCTTATGACTCCCTATATGAATAACTGGATAAGTGTTGCTACTGACAAGAATGTTAAAGAGCTTGATATCCATGTGAAGAAGGCTGATGATGTCTATGAGAATGTGGTTAGCCAATGTTATGTACTGCCTCAGGTGGCCTTTGCTTCCAGGACAATAACTTCATTGAAACTCCACGGATGTGGAATGGATGTTTCTGCTGTCATAAAGCTCCAAAACCTGCGGGAGCTATCCATGAAAGCTATGCGTATCAATGAGAATGTAGTCCATAAGTTTGTCCAAGGCTGCCCTTTGATCGAAGATATGCGACTGATCAAGTGCCATCTTTTGAAATTCTTGCATGTCTCAACTCTGCCTAAACTAAAAAGGTTGGAAGTACATGAGGGCTCCAACCTCAGGTCGGTCAAACTAGAGGCACCCAATCTTGAGACATTTTGGTTCCATGGAAAGAAATCTTCAAGGTGCAAATTAATCTTAGCAGGGTGCGGAAATCTTAAGAATTTGATGTTGAGGCATACACACATGGCAGATAAGTCATTTCAGGAACGTATCGCCGAATTCCCATTACTTGAAAACTTGTTCCTGTTAGAGTGTCATGCGTTGCGGAGGATGACAATATTGAGTGACAAGCTGAAGAAGCTTTCAGTAGTAAGGTGCAGCAAACTAAAGGAAGCCAACATTGATGCACCAAATCTACTTTCATTTGAATATACTGGTATTGAGCTGCCTTTTTCTTCCATGAATGCTTCACAGTTGCAAGAAGTGAAGCTTCACTTGAAATCCCAAAAACAGAAGTTTCACCCTCTTGAAGTTCAGAAATTCGTTCAAGGGCTCGAAGCTAAAGGTTTCAAGTTGTTTCTTGCCTCTAAACAGGTCTCAAACTTTTTAAACTCTTGTATTAAATTATCATTGATGATTGTCTATTGCTTCTCATATGTTGAATTGTTTATGTATTTATTTGTTTATTTATTCTTGTGGCACTTATAGGATGTGATTATCTATGAGGAAATGAGAGGAATCCATCTTCTTCCCTCTAGAGACTTCAAGATAGAATTGACTAAATCATCAAGAGTACTGAGAAATCTTCTCAACAGTCACTTGCGTCAGTTTCACCCAAAAACTCTTATTTTAATGACATCTCCCAGCAGTGACCTTCTCGCGGTAAGATTAGCTCTGTCTGAACTGGATCCTTAGATTATACTTTCTAGTTTATCAGTGCATTCTATCGCTACACTGGTTAGTACTCACTGTTATTTATGTGGAATACAGTTCAAAAAGGAGATCATGATGAACAAAGAGAAGACTCCTAGCTGTTGTAAATATTACTCAAAGAAATGCTGGCGACATTATTTAGAAGACATTAGAATGTTTGAGTTTTCTCCGTCTAATATAAATCCCAATACGAGTTTTGAACTAAAGTGGAGATCGTCACCCTTGTCGCTGCCGGAAGATACAGACATAACAGGAATGAACGAGTCAATGGTGCATAGGGATACAAAGCTAACTGATATCGATGAGTAATAAATAGGAGATCGTCACCCTTGCCGCTGCCGGAAGATACAGACATAACAGGAATGGACGAGTCAATGGTGCATAGGGATACAGAGCTAACTGATATCAATGAGTAATAAATAGGACCGAGATGTCAACTCTACTTATTTATGGCGCACAGTTAGTTATATGACCATATTGTCATCTTAAATTTTCTTTTTCTTCTTTAGATAATTTTACAGTTAGGCAAACATTTGAGTTTTGATTCAAGATATTTATATTTTACGGAAGCAAGTTGAATTTGGTTCCCTCCCCCTGTTCGTCCCAATTGACCAAGGACAAAATTAAGAACGTTCTTTTGATGCGAGTATCTAAATAATTTGTCAACACCATTTTCTGATGGTTTGTTTTGCATGTTACATACAATTTGGTAAGTAAATATATCCAACACCTAAAGAATATGGATTGGTGCTGTGTCTAAGATTTTATCAGCTCCTTTCAGGGTTGGTGGGAGACTATCTCAAACTTTTTGCTGTACATATTTCGGCACTCTTAGTGCTGGTTTTAAATCTTCCTTTATTCATTTGAAAAATGACACTAGTACTCCTATAGTTGTATTCTAGGATAAAGGAGCGCGGTATCTCTCTCTCTCTCTCTCTCTCTCTCTCTCTCTCTCTCTCTCTCTCTCTGTTTCCTTTGCCATACGAATCTGGTTCTCACCAAAGATTTCAACCATGATAAGATTTGTACCATCTTAATTAATGCGAAATCACTAGAAAAGATGAAAAGCTAAGGTTCTGAAGATTGATAAAAATGGGAATCAGATACGTACTGCTACAGAAGTAGACAAGACAACAATGGCTCTGCCTCTATATATGAGTGATACTTTCTTGAAAGCAACCTATCAGCTAACTTGCGTCTATCTTTGCATTTTCGGTGATGGACATGGTAAGTTATTTCGAGTTTAAAAGTAGTTCTCTTTTGGATGTATTTGATACGATGGAAGTCACTTATCGAAAAATGTTTCCCATGTGTGTAGAGGCCGGTTGGGGAGGAGCAAGCAGACAAAGTAAAGAAGAGGATCGTTGTTGGACCATGGGGTGGTCATGGTGGAAGCCCGTGGGACGATGGTGGCTTCACTGGAGTGAGAGAAATTACCCTTGTCTATTCTCTTTGTATAGACTCCATGACTGTGGTCTATGACCAAAATGGCAAGCCTTATAAAGCAGAGAAGCATGGAGGAGTTGGAGGTAGTAAAACTGCACAGGTAATACTTTATTCTATGGATTTTAGCTTCGTACACTGATAATATAAAGAATCAGTACAGTGTTTCATTTACTATAGCAGATTAGTTACACTACTCAACCCTAGAAATTAGTTCACGAGACAAAGATTGCCCAAGAAATAGCCTCTCTACTCCATCGGGGTAGGGGTAAGGTCTGTGTGCACACTACCCTCGCCAGACTCCACTTGTGAGATTTTACTGGGTCGTCGTTGTTGTACAAAGATTGCTCAAGACAATATAAAGATAGCAATGCACTCACTCCCTCAATGTGGGACACTTAACACATCCCTTCCCCATTCTTAGGACTGATCATTTGGTGCGCGGATAATATAGCATGTTTACAAGGAGTCCTTGGTTGGATAAAACAACAATAAGAAAGAGTTTGACTCTAATATTATGTTAAAGAAAATGAACCTCGGGTGTTAACTCAACGTAACAAAAGTTTAGCTCATGAGGCGAGTATTTTGCTGTTAAAGTTTGCTATTACTATGAAACTTAATGCCTTTAAGTGAATTTCATTTCCAGATTAAGCTGCAATTTCCAGGAGAATACTTGACGGGCGTTAGCGGCTACTACTGTCCAGTGGTCTATGGTGGCAGTCCTGTTATACGATCCCTCACCTTTAGCAGCAACAGAAGAACATTTGGACCTTTTGGAGTTGAAGAAGGAACGCGATTCTCCCTGCCGATGGAAGGTGGCCAGATTGTAGGCTTCAAGGGGAGAAGCGGGTGGTATTTAGATGCTATTTGCTGTTACATTGCTAAAGTAAAAACAACTACAGTCTTACAGATGGCTCAACAAAGGCTGAAAAAACTTGCATCTTCTGTGTCTTTGAACTACAGATATGGAGATGACCAAAACAAGTTTTATTACTACAAAGGTGGAGATGAGATTCAAACCAAGTATTCCAAAAAATAAGGCATATGAAAACTGCTTACATTCGTTCGCGTCTGTAAGACTGTAACTAAACTATCTGTACTAAAAGATTTAAGTAAAATGATATATACATTGCAGTCGAAGTCTTCTTATACTTTCGCTTAAAAACTGTTTTCCTTCTTACAATGGTAGTATCTAGACCAACTTACATGAATCTTAATTGATACATGGACATCTGCAATCTCCTACCAGCACAAACACTGATAATTTTACTAGCTAAGCTTAGACAGATAGGAAGAATTCACCTCGTACAATCATATTGCCTCTATTGAGGTTTAAACATCCAAGTTGCTTCAACTTTTCAACCGCTAGGCCACCCCTGGGGAGTAATTTCAGCTTTATTTAACTTTTGCTAACACCTTTATACAAAATTTACACTAGTTCTTTAAAAGGCTATAATCTCAATTTGACATAAACACTAGTAAGTTTGAAGTGTTAAAACATGAAACAGACATACACAACCTTCTTTGCGTAAAAGACATGCTCGAAAATGTTAAGTTTCCACAATTGACAACCTTAAACGAAAAAAATGGTTACCGCCTTGAAAAATAAATAACGACATTTAAGAATGCAGTTTTGCTACTGATACACAACAAAGCACCTGAACCACCTATAGCATTCCACTTTTCATGGCAAGACATGCTTATTCTTGTTTCTTCCATCCTTGATCTCTTACCAGTGTATTAGTAAATCTCTCTCCACTCCTCTTCAACCGAGAGAGAGAGAGAGAGAGAGAGAGAGAGAGAGAGAGAGAGAGAGAGAGAGAGAGAGAGAGATGAACATAATAAACCAACAAGAAGCAGACGGACAACATTTAAGTTGTGCGGCACAAGATCTTTTAATAAATCAAAAACTGAATTTGTCTCTTCTTAAACGCATGTTCAGTACTCATGCTGTCTGATCTAGGGCCAAAACTGGCACAGGTATAACCTGCAATTACCTCATTACAACACTTGAGGGATGAGCGAAATAATACATCCGTGTTCAGTATAAAACACAAGTTAATTTAACAGACTCTTCTTCAAGAATGAGATGATGAATCTGTTTTCTCGGCCAAATAGTGCTCAAGCATATCTTCTTCATCATCTGTCCACACACAAAAAAAATTAACAAAAATAATCATTTCATACTGATTCAGAAACAAATAAACAGAAGAAAAACAAGAACAAGAAAATTGACCTTCAAAATCATCATCATCAAAATCAATATCATCCTCATCTTCATCAGATTCTTCAGCAATAGCTGCCGCAGCTTTCTGTTGACAACAAAGAGAAACAACCCCAGTTTAGCAACAGCCACAGATAACCATATTATGAACTCACAACCTTTCCTAAGCAGCTTATACAGGAACAGGACCTCGTGTCCCGATTCGAAGGAGATACCACTACATACAGCAGACACTTTTGACTTACAAACATTCACCAATACAGTGGAGTGCAGTATGATATTTAGCTGTTTGCATTAATGTATGGTCAGGGAACATTACGAGCAGCTGGAATAATCAAAAGGAAAAGAAACAGGGCCCAGAGCAGCACTTCTATTATACAGGAATTCTTCTCTATGAGCCTCATAATACTTGCCCCCCACCGACACCAAAAAATTCTGACAACACGAAAGTAAAGGATAATAAAGCAAATAGTGAGATCACATTAAAGCCTTTCAAAAAAATCAGGACACGGGGTTTCTGTTACTTGCATCGTAGAATTTCAATCCTGCTGAATTCAGGAAAACATTAATGTCTTGTTGCAATGTCTTTGGCTAATGCTACTATATTTAGCAAAGACGAATTGGATCTTGTCCTGTAACACTGCCTTCACATTTTTTTTCCTTTTTGATAACCGTGGTATCCGGGCTATCTTTCGTGCACCTTGACTAATTCAACGGGTACATGTTACCCCCCACCAGTATAAGTACACGGTAACTCCATTGTATTCACATTTAATAAACACACACAAGAGAGAGAGAGAGAGACAGCCTCCCCATAATGGCATAGCCTAACGGAACTATGGTCAGTATCAAGAAAGTTGAAACTGTATTTGGCTGTCGTTTCTGACTCAAATTAATTTGATGCATCAATGAGATTAAAATAGCACAACTTCATTATAAACTTCGAAACAGCAACTACACAAAAGAATAAATTACCCCACTGGCTCTTCCACTTTCAAACCATTGCCTCCCTGTCAGTTTCTTTTCCTTTGGAGCATTAAGTGCCGAATCTGGCATTAACCTGAACGTTGATATATGGTTGCACATCAGGAACATAATAGCCAAATTTGGATAAAAGGAAATGCAGAAAAGTAGATGGCCAGCCACAAGTTTCTAAAGCAGAAATGTTCAAAGCAAAGGAGTTTAAAAGGTAACACATGGTCATAATCAATACATTCTGTCTATGCTTCACAATTCAATAATTCCTAATATCTGACACACAACCCTGTTTAAAGTTCCCTCTCAACAAATAACAATAAGAATAAACATTTGCCTGTGGCAACAAAGTGCCCCTAAAGTTGCCCAAGATTTTCAGAAATTTGGAGTTGATGATTCGTTTTAACTGTATGAAACTTCACTGGCATTTAAAATAGTAAAATGTTTCTAGTTTTATTGGATGAAGAAGACCCACATCCAGTGCCACAACTTTGGTTGAGAAGCCAACGCAAGAAACTTACTTGGCTCTTTCCAGAGCTAGTTCGGCTTCAAATCTTTCCCTCCATGCCAAGAATGTTTCGATGGTAACTGGTTCTCCGTGTGGTATAATTACCTGAAGTCAAATGAATAATAACAATTAAGTGATCACGATTCAAGGCCAATCCATCAAAAGAGTAAGTAAAATCTTAAGTAACAGAAGATTTTCCAGTTGTTAGTTCAACAGAGCACCACAGAACTGCTTTTAAAAATGTAGATGCAAGCTACATCCGCAAGGTTTGCTGAAGCTATTAACTAACAAAAGTGAAGAATTTAAGTGTTGGTTACCTATGACCACCTTGACTGAGATACAGGCAGATCCAAGTCCTATTACTGTCTTACCAATTTCAAGCTCAGACTAGCAAAAGTCACTATGCTCGAATTGTTCACAACTTTGGGTAGAATTTCAAAGGCATCTCAGATGTTTTGATGGTGTATCAACTCCTAATCATTTCCTGAAAGCCAAATGTCTTTTGCTTTTATTTAGTTGGTATAACCTTTCCAATGTAAATTCATCAGTTCAGTTTTTAGATTTTGTTAGCTCCAGTGCATAGCATAGCTTATTTGTATTGGAGCTAACTGCACCTTTTGTAATCCTTTTTGGAACTGATTGCATCTTCTTTTTGATGAAGTAAGTGAAATATCATTAAAAACATCCAGAAGATGTAAAGATTACAAGAGAGAAGAATCTGACAGCTCAACAGAGACAACTGATTGCATCTTCTTGATGCATTTAATGAAACTTCTTACTTCATCTAAAAAAACATTGGGTAGATTTCAGGTACATCCTAATATCCTGGCCTCGCTGGCCCTTCTATAACAAAAAATACACGTTATATTTCTAGCTAACTTATTAAGTCACATTAGAAGAATATATGTTGGAGCTTGATTCCAAGTACTATCAGAACAGAACATGCCTTTTCTTTCTTTACCCCCCCCCACCCTCCCACCCACCACCTCCCACCCCACCCCCACCCCACCCCCACCCCCACCCACACACACACACCTTTCCTTTTCCTATTAAGTGGATAAGTTATCAAAATCATACTAAAGCAACCTAGTTTTGTCTGTTCAATAGAAGCTGTGGGCAATTCATGAGTCAAAATCACTAGAATCTTAGATTTATGACTTCCCAATTTTGCAGTTAATGAAAGCTGATTCATATGCAGCAGGTCAATCAGGACAAATAACATACTTCCTCTTTTTTGGCTTCATCATCTTCAGCATCTTCGGCTCCTGTTTCCTCAGCAAATCTTTCAGATAGCCAGTCTTTAGCTGATGTGACCAATGTGTAGACCATGGCCATTCCAAGATTCTCAACAGCCTGCGAATGCAAGCATTCAGAGAAGAAGTAAGGCATAAAAAACAAGTGCATGATTTAGATAAAAGAACAACTCTTGCCAATTTCTATAAATCATTCCACAACAACAATGCTTTCCTGAGCCGAGGGTCTATTGGAAACAGCCTCTCTATCCTCTCTATCCTCACAAGGTAGTGGTAACGTCTGCGTACACACTACCCTCCCCAGACCCCACGGTGTGGGATAATACTGGGTATGTTGTTGTTGTTGTTGCATTCCACAACAGTAGCTAACTGTTAGCGACAGGAAAGACAGAGAGTATAGGGGCTTCTTTTTGGGCGCGGGGGTAGGGTCACAGTCACTGCCACAATAATTGGCCAAATTCTTTGACTGGCAGAAGAAACAACATTTTTAAAAAAAAAAAAAAAACCTCAGGGACATATTGCATAAGAATTGGGCTTGAAAACATACCTCCTGTTCAAGCTTCTCTTTCAGGATTTTAAGATCTGCAGATTGAATTCCTTTTAAACTGAAAAAACAAGAGAGATCTCTAAATATATCAGTTGCACAAAGTTGTTAATATCACATCACAACAGTAAAGCAAAATTAAGGTAGCTACTAGGCACCTCATGTTATATTGATATAAAAATGAGTGCTACTAACAGATCTGCTCTTAAGAATATTAGAGAAGCTTGTAAACCATTTTAAGTGCACAATCAATAACGAATCACTCACTTATGAATATAAGCTTGCTGAACCACATTAAAATTTGAGTTCTTCGTCTTTGATTATTTAGTCTTTACTGCTTGTCATTTTCGCAGAGAAACTACATAAAAGACATGCGATTTGTGATATGTTGAAATACGGGTAAGAATCTAATTCGACTTGCAAGCAACAAAAGTGCACAAGGATATTTCTTCCTGTTATGCAGCATTTATAACAGTGTATCCAAAACAAGGAAAACACTACAGGTCCTGGGATGGCGTATCCTAGTGGAAGGGTAAAATTACCTTGAGACATTCAAAAGTGGAGGTTCATCGGGATATTTTTCTGTATGTGAGAATATTAAAGCTAGTCGAACTGCAGCAACAATTTGGTAGCAATTATTGTTAG